GAAGATTTTTATTAAAAGGTGACATTCAAAACAGTTTTGAATGAAGTGCTTAACCAAAAAGGTAAAAATTAATTACAAAATTAAGCTGCAAGAGATTTGTGATTATTTACCTTGGTAGAGTTGATTGTTGTCTTTATATTTTTTATAAAGCCATTGAGGCTTATCCGAGGCACGATTATTGCTAATTGAAAAAATATATCCTTAATAACTGAAAGGTCTTGTTAATACCAACCTTGATGTGTTGGCAGAGGAAGACAAGATCAAAGGATATGAGAGCATATTAAAGTTCTTATTAGAAGATGATATCTTTGATGTAAAAAATTTAAAGAGAGCCTTAAAAATAAAGTGGGATAAACTGAAATGTAAGATTAAGATAGAAATAGGACCAAATACATCAATAAATATAATAAATCTAAGTGAACCAAAACTCCAAAATTGAGTTTTGAAAACCAAAATTTGAGAACCAAAATTAAGAAAATTACTGATTAGAATAAAGAAATCTAGATACTTTCTAGAATACAAGACACACTTAAAGCATAGGAATACAGCAAGGTTGAACACAATAGGATTTAAAAAAAAAGAAATGCTAACCAAAATAAAATTGTTACTGCTACACTAATAAAATAAGACAAATCATTATTAGGGATTGTGAAGGTTGTAAATATGGATAGAAGATTTAGCATAGCAAGAAGGTATAGCAATTTTTAACATGCGTGAACCTGATAAACTATATGAAGCAAAAATTGGTAGATTCAAATAAATAAAGACTTCAATATCTGAATTGAGAAATTGTTAAAACTGCAGAGAAAATTTTTTTAAAAGATTTATTTATTTTAGAAAGTGAGAAAGAGCATGAGTGGGAGGGGCAGAGGGAGAGGGAGAGAATCTCCAGCAGAATCTGGGCTGAGCATTTAGCCCAATTCAGGGCTCGATCTCACAACCCTGAGATCACAAAGCCAAAACCAAGAGTCAGATGCTTAACTCACTGTGCCACCCAGGCACCCTAAAACGGCAGCGAAACTTAAAAATTATTTAAGCAGAGATTTCAGTGTAGAAATCAGCAAGAACAACAAGTTGGTCCTAGTTAACGTATCAGGTTCTTTGTTCAACAATTGGGAAATACTTTTCTCAGGCACACATGGATATTTACAAAAAGTGATTTGTGTTGGGACATAAAGGTTCAGATAAAATTTAAATAGCTATTGTAAAGTGATCTCTAACTACAAGTAACTTAGAAGTTACTAACAAAAAGTTTAACTACTACATACATGCTTGGAAGTTAAAAATAACACTGAGTAACTTGAGTGAAAAAAAACTATAATGGAAATCACAAATACTTGGAACAAAATGATAATGCTTACACACCAGAAACACATAAAAAATTCAAGAGAAAGTGTATTAGAAAAGAAAATCTTTTAAACAGTTCGCTAGGTGTCCATCTTAAGTTAGAAAAAGGAACAATGGAATAAATTAGAAGAAATCATGAAAATAGGGGCACCAGTCATTAACATACAAAGACGAAAGTTGCCTGTTTTGAAATAAAAAATACATCTCTAAAAAAGACTGGTCAAGAAGATAAAATTATGAGAGAAAATGGCATAATTGCAAGTAGAGAGTAAATCATTAGTGAATATCTTATGCCAACAATTCTGAAAACTTAGGTGAAATGGAGAAATTACTGTAAAAATCATAAAGTAACGACCTTAGGGGCACTTGGCTGGCTCAGTTGGTAGGTAGAGCATGTGACTCTTGATCTCAGGGTTGTAAGTTTGAGCCCCATGTTGGGTGTAGAGATTACTTAAAAAAAAAAAATAAAACCTGACTTAAAACAAAAAGCTTGAGTAGTCTTGTTACTGTTAAATGTAGATCTGGTTAGAAAGATTTCCCCATGGGACACCTGGGTGGCTAAGTTGGTGAGCGTCTGCCTTCGGCTCAGGTCATGATCCCAGGGTCCTGGGATTTTTTTTTTTTTTAAGTAATGATATGACTAAGATAGATTTTTGCTAGGAAGTTAAGGAAATATTTTAAAATCCACAAGTATATAATTTTTTTTAAGATTATTTATTTATTTATTTATTTGAGAGAGAGAGCATGAGATGGGGGAGGGTCAGAGGGAGAAGCAGACTCCCTGCCAAGCAGGGAGCCCGATGTGGGACTCGATCCTGGGACTCCAGGATCCTGACCTGAGCTGAAGGCAGTCGCTTAATCAACTGAGCCACCCAGGCGCCCGCCACAAGTATATCATTTTAATAATGAAAGAAGATATCTGGAGTGGGGGGGCGCCTGGTTGGCTCAGTCTGTTAAGCATCCAACTCTTGATCTCAGCTCAGGGCTTGATCTCACGGTCGTGAGTTCAAGCCCCACATTGGGCTCCATGCTGAGCATCAGGCCTACTTTACGACAAAAAAAACAGGTGCACAAAAAGCATTTGACAAGATTTAACCCCAGTTCATTAAGGAATTGCCTCAGGAAATTTGTCTGAAGGAATTTCCAACTGAGTATTTAAAAAAGAAAAAAACACGTTGGGAAAACTGGACAGCTACATGTAAAAGAATGAAACTGGACCACTTTTTGTTTTGTTTTGTTTTGTTTTTTATTTATTTATTTGACAGAGACAGAGACAGCGAGAGCAGGAACACAAGCAGGGGGAGTGGGAGAGGGAGAAGCAGGCTTCC